CTTCGCTCTAGTGATACACTCATTTGCAAATCAATTTGGTTTTCACGGGGGACTCAACTGAATCTCTCGTTCATGGTATCCTACAACTGAATGTGCTGCACACAGGCCGCCTCATGTTTCAGTTGACACGATATCCGAGATATTTCGTGAAAAACCAGATTGATTTGCAAATGAGTGTATTTCTCGAAAACAGCCCAATTTGGGTTCAAGTAGAACATAGGGGTTGATGGAAACTCGGGGATTGCGCATACCTGATGAGCCCCGATTCGGGCGAAACCGGTTGTGGGCTGTCGAAGAGTTTTCAGCAACCTTGTGAGTAGTTTCCTTTATGAGCTTCGTTCTACTTTCTAGTTGGCTCATTTAAACTATTATCATTGGCAGCGCTCATCAGTGAACGCTTACCATGCACTTATGGTTTTTTCTTCGACCATCACTAGTCAGATCGGGTGCATTTTGAATTTCGAGTATATTGCAGGAGCATGCATTCACTGAATCGGCCTTAAAAGCTTTGTTGAAGGATTCTAAGTTGAACTAAAGCGGATGGATAGCCTCAATAACGTTGCACACGCCGTCGCGAAGAGGCTAGACCTTACCATGGTGTGGCGGTTCGTGTACCTCGGCGGCCAATAAGCCATACTGGACGTGTCCGCGCGAAACTCACAGAGTCTCTCACACCAGGTTGGTCCATGGGTAGAGATCTGGCGATCACAGTCTCCTGACCCTCCAGGTTGGGGGTTGGAACATGTGTGACGACGTGTTCCGTAAAAATGGTAATGTGCTTGCATTTCAAGCCCAACACCGTTGACTTGTGGCTAAGCTTTTGAGCCAAAGGCTTCGGTTGAGGACCCTAATCGTCTTCCTGTCAATGTGTGGGCACCCTGGCAGTATCCTAGCCCTCATACAACCATGACATCCACATTTTCCTCGAATGCCTACCGGACGGTAGGTTGTCGGATATAGACGGTCACTGGGAAAAGATATGCAAAGTGCTACTGAAAGCCGGAACGTCTGTTTGCGGTACAACCCAGCCAAACTCATCCAAACGTCGGATCTCTGATAGGACCGTGTCTTTGCTGGAGACCCAGCGACAGATTCCTCCTGGCCGCAACCACAACTCCACCCGACGCATCATCCGACGCCAGGTGAATGCAGACGGAAAAGCTTGGCGGACCCGAAATGCTGAAGAAATGGAAGGTGCAACGAATGGTGGAAACGTCCGCAAGCTGCTCCACCTGATTCGTTCGACTGATCATCTGAAGCCTCTTGTCAGTGAAATAATCAGGCACCAAAATGGCTCCCTGTTATGCAGCAAAGTAGAACGTTTGGACCTCTGGATACAGTACTTCGAACAGCGATTCAGCTGGCCACCTACTACCTCCAATCCAGAAAGATGTACTGAGAATATGGAGCCACTTTCAGTCTCAGAAGTGTCCGAGGGCACTTCCCTACTACAGCGTCCTGACGGCCTTCCGCCTGCTCTGTTCAAGGATTGTTCTGTTCAGGGTTTCTCACTACGTGTCCGTCTAGCCTATTCGGATTTATCTGGGAGCAAGAGACCGCTCCAGACAACTGGAGGGAATCGATAATAGTTCCCATTTTCAAAAAGGGTACTCGCAGTGAATGTAGTAATCACAGAAGTGTTAGTGTGACGCCTGTTGTGACAAGGCTTCTGGCGTCACTGATTCTTCGTCGTCTTACGGTGGCACGCGAAACCTTGGCTCGTGAGAACCATGAAGGATTCGGACCGGGTAGAGGCTGTGTTGACCACATCTTCACACTCCGTCAGGTGTTAGGGCAACGCCACATGTACACCCGACCCACAGTCTTGGCGTCCCTCGACTTCAAAGGTGCGTTCGGTTCTGTCGATCGATCACTTCTGTTAACTACACTTGCTCCACAGGGTATGCCCCAGAAGTTTGCAAATATAATCTAATCCCCGTATTCACATACTGTTGGGCGGGTGAGAATGTATGGTGAGCTCCCCAAAAGCTTCGCTACAAAAAGTGGTGCCATTCTTGTTCAACTTCGTCACTGATGAACTAATCAGGCGAACACTGGACGGACTTGAAAACCCCGGTGTTCAAATTGCTGCTGGTGGGGACCTTGTCGAATTGGAGTGCGCAGATGACATCCTCCTCATCTTTGAAGACCAAAACGAAGAACGAGCTCTGTTGAATAAATTGACCGCCATCAATCCATCTTTGAGCATGCGCCTTGCACCTTAAAAGTGCGGAGTCATGCTTCAGAACGTGCAGTCTGTGAACATATCCCTTACAATTCAAGGGGAATCACTGGGGACTGTTGTACCAGGATACAGTAAGAGCTGTGTTTTTGTATGGGTGCGGGACGTGGCCTTTGCGGACAGATGACGTGAGGCCTCTTCAGATTTGAACCATCGATACCTCAGAAGCGCTGCTGATATTGGATGGCGTCAGCGGATTTAGTAATGAGAAAACGGGTATTTGGTTGTGTGGCAGATACTTCAATCGCGGAAAGTATCCAGCACCATCAACTATTGTGGCTCGGTCATGCGCTACGCATGCCAGAACACCGTCTACCGAGACAAGTGTTTTCCTCCGTGCCTCCTTTAGAATGGCGCAAGCTGCGAGGTCAACAACGTATAAATTGGCAGAGGCGCGTGAAAGAGACTACGAAGAGTTTGGGTGTTGTTGGTGTTCCGCCTGCACTCTGTCGATCGACGTCAGTGGCGTTCGTGTTGTCAGTTTCCGGATTGTCTGATTGAGCGCTCAGAGGTGTTGGCACCTCGGAATGCTTGACATAGGCCACCACTAGGTCCCTTCCCTCACCCACTCTTTTTCTCTTCCCTTCACTCTAGAGCTTCAAATATAACTAGATGAGCCCCTAATGGTTGTACAGCAGTAAAGCATTTTGTGTAAAAAATGCTATATGGCGATACCTTTCAGATTCATTTTCCAAAATTCACGAACTTTTCATCAGAATTTAACGAATTTACGTCTGCAAGTTTTGTCGCAGACCCACACTATTCTTAAAAAGCTTTGCGAATGGCCGTCAATTTTCGTGGCTTTTAATGGAAAACCATGTGGAAGAGTTTTACCAATCAATTTATCATTGCAAGTATAGAGTATCGTCAACGAGTTATCAAGATAAATGTGATATAAATGGTAGTTTGCTAATATCGAACGTCGGCGGTAGTGCGTACTTACAGCTCAGCCATTAAGATATTCTATAGACTGGACGGGTCGAGGTAGCCAATCAGAGAGCAGTTACGTTTTTACTTAGTCGCCGAGCGCCAAGAAAATGCTACTCAATGTTTTTGTCGTAATTCTGAGTTATGGGTGTGACACTGGTAGATGTGTGTTTGTGTAACAAATGCTGAGCGATATTGTACTCTATTTTTACGTGAAACATTAATGGGTTGGGATAACTTGGAATAAGAGTAAATTATGTTGGAGTTCGGGATGGGACCACGTTTGAAGCTTGAGCTCTAGAAATAAGTATCCACGTCAAAGTAATGGCATTTTTATTGAAACTTCGTCATTGACAATGCGTTCTGGAAAGTAATTTAGTGGTTATGAGATATCGGTCTACTCCGAACGCTTTATCGCTCTTTAATGCATAGTATTTTTATCCCATCAGGTTACTGATTTGTCCGATAAACCCCTAATCTTCGTTATGTGTTTATACACTGTAGCAACCCCAACGGAACTCTGCCTCATGAACAAATCAGGGGTCTTGAGAATATCAGCGAGCAACGGAAGAGATTCATCGAATCGGCTGCGTCAGTTGGTACTTAGGGTTCCCCTCTTTTTTCGACTACACTCTG